ACTCAGGTGTCCCTAGTTGACCTGAAGTAAACTCTTTTCAGCCAATGGGGAAAAGGGCCATTACCATTCTAGGGCTCATATATCTGCCTTCCTCTGCTCTTACAGCTGTCCGGTCTGACTTTGTCACATACCCCGTCCTCCTTTCCTCCAACACTATGGGGTTGGGCTACTTGTGCAGACAACCGGTGTACCCTTGACAGACCATCAGCACTGACATACCTGATTCCTACCCTATGTTGCACTGTGAAGTGGAAGCATTGTAATGACAGGAACCATCTTGTTACCCTTGCATTTTTTCTTTGTTCTGGTGATTCCACTTCAGGTGGGCTATGGTCTGTAATAAGGGTAAACCACCATCTGAGCAGCTAGTGCCGGAGGGTTACCAGGGCCCATTTTACTGTACAGCATTCCTTCTCCCCCACAGCGTACTTTTGTTCTCTGGGAAGGAGTTTCCTACTAAGGTACAAGACTGGGAGTTCTTCCTCTCCTACCATTTGAGAAAGTACAGCTCCCAGTCCTAACTTGGAGGAATCCATTTGCAATATGAATTCTTTCTCAAAGTCTGGGGTTACTAGCCCTGCAGAAGGCTGGCCTCAGATCTGCAAAAGCTTCTGCAGCCACACTGATCCACTTCACTATGTTTGGGCCCCGGGCCTTTATCAGGTCTATCAAAGGGTATGTGAAGTGGCAAATTAATGACCTGTAATAGCCCACTATCTTCAGAAATGCTCTACCCTGTTTCTTCTGGACTGGTCTAAGCCAACTTTGTATTGCCGCCAAATTGTTCAGTTGGGGTTTCACTATACCTCTCCCCACAACGTACCCAAGGTATTTGGCTTCTGCTAGCCCTATTGCACATTTGGATAGATTAGCAATGAAACCTGCTTTCACCAGGGTACCCATTACTACTTCTGTCTTTTGTAAGTGCATCCCCCAGTCTTGGCTGTGTATGACCACATCATCCAGGTAAGCGGCAGCATACTTGGTATGTGGAGGTAATAGCTTTCCATGAGTCGCTGGGAAGTTGCTGGAGCCCCATATAATCCAAAAGAGAGGATGATGTACTGGTATAAGACTCCTGGTGTAGAAAAGGCAGACTTGTCCTTGGCTTTTTTTGCCAGAGGGATTTGCCAATAACCTTTGGTCAGGTCGAGGGTAGACAAGAATTATGCTTTTCTCAATTGGAATTTAGCTTATCTGTCTGAGGTAGGCCTTGAACTGGGACACCTCATTTAATTTTCCAAAGTCATTGCAGAATCTTGTGGTACCATCGGGCTTAAGTACCAGAACAATCGGGCAAGATAAGTGACTATGGGACTCTTCAATGACTCCTAGCTCCAGCATCCTCTTAGCTTGCATACCGCCCAACATTTCAGGTCTCTAAAGTGAGAGGCAGCTGGTCACTGCCAATCCTGTTGAGCCATCCCCACTGTAAGGAAGTGGAAAACTAGAACCCAAGTCTGCAGGGCTACAGATGACCAGCGCTTCCTCACCACCACCACACAGCAGCTGTGGCACAGCTGCGATCCATGCACTATATGCCCGGAGAGATGGGGCACCACCGGAAGTGACAACCCCAGAAAACCCAATTGGCAACACACACAACCCGGGACCTCTGATAGGGCCAGGCGCAGGAAGCTGTCTGTGCAACCCGCTGCTAGAGCACACCTTGCTTCAGATTCCAGCTCTGCTCTCAGGCCCTGACCGTTGGCTTGATTCCTGACCCTTGACTCTGGCTACAATCTCTGACTAGACTGCTGAATCTTGACTCTTAGTTTCTGACTCTTGCTACAACTCCTGCCTTGATCCTGGCTCCTGACTCCTGCTCCAGCCGCCAGGCCCCACCCCTGCTCTGACAAGTAGGCCTGACTCCTGTCCTACCCTCTAGGCCAGTCCACCCACATCTCAGTCATGACAGCCCAAGCACCTTGCCCACCCAACACTCAGCCCCTGCCTTTCAGCGTGGTGCCCCCAAGTTCACTGTCAGTCCCCATCCCTGAGCTCCCCTGCAGCCACTGACCATGGCCAGATGCCATTGAAGCCACTGCCCTCCCTAGCTCTACCGCTGCCAATGGCATGCACCGTGCATTTAGTGTGGTCAGCTGCAGGTCCTACTTCAACTAGGATGTGGGGGGCAGGGCGGGGCAAAGCAGGACAGTCCTACGAAACCCAGAACTGTTGGGAGGTATGAAAATAAGCGTGGCCAGGGTGACTTTGTAGGAGCTGGGTTGAGGTGTCTGGTGGAAGATGGGGCTAGTTGGATGTGGGAACTGAAGGCTGGGGGCAGCTGAGATCTGTCAGTGGGTGGGGCTACCTGGGAAAGACCGGGACCAATACCAGGTTCCTTCACCTTCTCTCCCCATCACTCAAGCTGCTGGCCTACTGCTCCCAGCGAGACTCTCCCTCTGAGATCCAGCATGATGAATGTGGAGGCAGAGGTCACGTGGCTGCTCAGCTGGAGACATAGCAACCTCTGGCGAATTGCAGGCCATTCCTGCAGCTCAGCTGAATAGGTGAGATTCACTCTGGCTGAGGAAATGTGTGAGGGGCCACTGCATATTCTCACGTGTGATGCCTGACACTAGGCAAGTCTGCATATAGTTACCCGCCCCTAAGGTTGGCATGTTTTAGCACACAGGGTCATGTGACCTATAGACAATAGCAGCGCTTCGAAAGCAATCATGGCAGCCATTTTGGATAAACATAAGTGTGACACATATTAAATGTTGGCAGTTTCTCCTTCAAATTATTTATAATATTGTAATTATACAGAGAAGATTGTTGGTCATGCTTCCTCCCTGAGCCTGGGAGGATGGATGCCAGAGAGCAAAAATAATCAACCTGCTTCCATACACTTTTCCCTCAGATAGATGATGCTGTGCCACCTCATAGCTGGTCTTCAACCATCGTGGCTTTCTTCCTTCCACTGTTCAGTGAAACATGTCTTTGCATTTCCTACTCAGATTATATTCAGAATTAGTGCCAATCTAATTCCAGGCAGTGTTGGATCATTAAATCCAGCAGAACCCAGCTATGGTTCCAGAGTCATCTCCTCTCCTCAAATTTCACAGAGCTTTCTCAATGGCCTTTCAGGTTCTCCAGATGGGGGCAATTCCAGGATAGATATTGTGTGGAAAGTGTTAGTTAGTTGACACTTCAACAATTATCATGCATTACACAGGCTGTTTATCAGAATTTGACTAAAGCATAAGATAAACCATAAACTAAAAATAAATATGCACAGCTGTACAATATTTAGGAATTATTGATTCAGTAAGTTTGAAGATTACTGCTTTGTTCTGAAGTGTTAGTTCTTTAATAAAGATAATTTCCCATTCTCCCCATACCAGATCCTGGTTCTTAATGTGTTTTGGAGAATTGTGAACATTTGGGTGATGAATTATGTCAAAGGTATTTTTTACAGGACATAGATCTGAGGAAAGGGAGCTCAGATATTAAGTTAGTCATGACTGAATCAACTGCAAGTACAGATAAAACTACTGGTTGTTGAGAATGAGCACCTCATTAAATTGTACGTTTAACCCATGCCAAAGTAGTTTGGCCTCCTTAGCAATAAAACATTCTACATCCTGGTTGGAGCAACAGAATTTCAGAGTTTGGAGGTGAGTTAGAAAAATAACAATTGAGTTTAGTAAGAGTTTATTAGAACTGTATGTGTTAGAGAGAATCTTCTCTGAGCTTCCACAGAATCCAACCCCTAAGTTCTCTAGAAGGAAGTCTAGTGACAGCACAATGAATCAATCAAACACAAGTTAGACAAATGTTAGACAAATTTTCACTGTCTGGTCCTACCCAAAAGGACATGACATTGTTTCTGCTGCCATATAAAAAACAAATTAACACTTTAATAGCTGGCACATACACCACACTACAAAATAGAAGTGAAAAGCTTTATTATAATAAAAATTACACACCTTTAACAGAGGTGTTTTTATACTCTAAGAAGCTCAAGAAATACAGTATCAAATTATTAAGGATGTAAATTATCACAAGTTCAACAGTATATGCTTAAAATTCAGACAATTTGCTAGCAATTCAATGGCTTTTTGTCAAAATAACCCTGTGTTCAGCCTCTAGCCAGGCATAAGTTCAATGTAGCTTCCTTTTTAATGTGACTTTAGCAGAATAAATTACCAGATATATTGTTCATACAGTTAAACAAGCCAACGCATGAGAGAAACCTCTGTCTAACTTCACTACATTAAACTACAGCCTATTTGGCCCGAAATGCCATGCTAGGAGCAACACCAAGCAATCTGATCCACTGAGATGGGGCAGCTTGACTTTGATATTCCCCTCTTCCCACATTCACCCATGGATTAAGCAGAAAAGAAGACTGGCGTCGAGATGAGGGCTAAGCACATAGGTCCAGAAAACTAGGAAATCCTTCTCATCTCTAAACCATCCCTTGTTTTTAGAAACAAAAGTGAAACCAAACCTTTTTTTGAGATTCCAAACAATTTGAATTTATTTTCTGTGTTTGGTATGCAACTGGGCTCAGAACTGGAAGTGCTGAAATATAACGAGCAACGCTCCTTTCTCTGTGTTTACATCCATGACTGCAAACTAAAGTGCTATAGATGATGGGTTCTCTTAAGCTTACCAGCCCAATTCTTCAGACTCAAGAGGTTTGGATAACTTGAATAAGGAATGGATAAGCATTACAGAGTTTGGATAATCCAGAATTTGGAGGTTGGCCCATCACCAGATGAGAGACAACATGTGGATCCAACAGTCAGATTTTACAGTTATACCATCAACAGGCACATGCTATATATGACCTGGCAAAATCTAATGTGAAGATCTTCAGATATGTCCTCTGGAAATTTTGTTTCAGTCTCTGCTGGCAGTAGAACCCTGGCTTGTTCCCTTCATTCAGCTCCATCTTTCTACTTAGTCTTCAATGTCCAGAGGGACTTAATCCCCAAAATCCAGAGGAATATGGTCCCCATTGACCACAGGAGTATAGTTCCTGCCATCTATAGACCAGAGTCATTGAAGGCTGGGGGACCACAGTCATCATATTCTGAGGGATCACAGTTGTCAAAGGCTGGAGGGACACAGTCGTCAAAGGCTGGAGGAACACAGTCGTCAAAGGCTGGAGGAACACAGTCGTCAAAGGCTGGGGGGACGAAGTCGTCAAAGGCTGGAGGAACACAGTCGTCAAAGGCTGGAGGAACGCAGTCGTCAAAGGCTGGGGGGACGAAGTCGTCAAAGGCTGGGGGGACGAAGTCGTCAAAGGCTGGGGGGACGAAGTCGTCAAAGGCTGGGGGGACGCAGTCGTCAAAGGCTGGGGGGACGCAGTCGTCAAAGGCTGGGGGGACGAAGTCCCTGTCATCCTGAGGAATATAGTTCCCATTTTTCAGAGGAACACAGTCTTTAATAACTGAGGCAACATCGTTTCCAGCATGCACAGGCCTGGGCTGTGATTTAGGTCCTTCCTTCCCTTGAAGGAAAAAAGTAAATGAATAACATACCCCATATTATATATTATTATCCTACCATTTAAGCATGGACTGTACAGGGTGGGCCGAAGTTTTGGGTAACCTAAAGGTGGACATGGGTGTAAATGCCAAAGGAATGTCATTTATTCCAATTTAGCACTCTGGGTGTGCAAAATGAGTACACTGGAATTTACACATTGAAGAAAAGATGGGGGAGAGTATCAAGAAAAATCTCAAACAGAAGAGTTTAATAAAAAGCAGTTCCCTCCTGGTATCGTATACACCCCTGTTATTTGCTGTTCTTTCTATACACCATTCTACTCCCCCTATTAGGGCCACATTTTCAGAAGGTCACAGCACGTTGGGTGCTGAACTCTTTCAAAATCTAGCCCCTATTTAGGTGCCTAAATGGGAGCTGAGCGGTTTTAAAAATCAAGGCCCAGATATTCATTGGCACCCTCACCGAAGTCTATGTTAATGTAATTTACACTGGAGGAGTGGGTCACACAATGGTTTACCCCTTACACTTATTTGCCCTGTTTTCCTGGCCCATTTAAACCATATTTTTACATCACTGCAGAATTTGCACAGTGAATTGCAGGGGTCTGTGTGCTTTCTTTGTGCATTTTAGGTTATTTTCTCTGTGTCCTGCTCCTTTTATTTAAATATAGAAGCCAGGGGAGCCAGCAATATAAGTATAACAACAAGGGTTTAAAATACCACTGCCCCAAATGTACAGAGAAGTTACATTTTTCCATGGAAGTGTATTATGTCACTAAGCATAAATGTCACTAAGCTAGAAGTCATACATGTGATTTCTTGCCCATTCTCTTCTATTCCTTCATCCCGTTCCTTTCATTCTCTACCTCATACTTTTCTTCTCTGTTCAATTCTCTTATTTCTGGGTAATGTTTTTCTCTCTTCTTTGTTAATCACCCCACTTTCCTTTCTTTAGAAAGCACCATCTTCTTTCCTCTCCTTTTTCTTTCATATTCATTCTGTTATCCACCCCTCTACTCCTTCCACTGTTACATTGTCTCTTTCCCTAATGCCCCAAGGTTCTCCCATAACTCTCCTCACTCTTAATACTTGCCACTTACATAGCACTCTACAAATGTTAGCTACCATCTCACTTTGAGGGAAGTTAGTATTGCTAGCCCAGTTTTACAGATGGGAAAATTGAGGCAGAAAGTTTGAGAGACTTGCCCAAGGTGACAGAGGGAGTAGAGTCAGGGTTAGAATACAGGAGTCGCTTGCTCCCTGGCCCATGTTTACTCCACTATCCCACACTGCTTTTCACACTGTAAGGCAGCATCTTTTGTGGCCAGAATTGTTCACCAATGAAGTGGCTCAGCTACAAGCAGCTGACTGACAGTCCAGAAGGAGCTTACAGCATCCCTGGAGCTGTCAGCAGCATCCCCCACAGCTTCAAAGTGCTGTGGGATTCATTCACCACATAGTCCAGCCTCAGATAGCTGTATGTGAGGATGGTGAATAACATGAGAGTTTCAGGAAAAAGTATAGTGTTCACAGCTATTAAAGCCAGAAGGGACAATTAGGTCATCTAGTCTGACCTCCTACAGGTCCTTAAACTTAGGTAAACTAAAGCATTTCAGTCTTCAGGAGACTAAAATGATGTGTGCCACAGGCAGAGAACTGGAAGGATCAAGGACCAATGCCTGAAGCCTCTGCAATGGCAGGGAACTGATTAAGTGAGAAATGCTCAGATGGTCCAGCAGGGGATCCATGCCCCATGCTGCACAGGAAAGCAAAAAAACACACACAAAAACCCCAGATCTCTGCCAATCTGACCTGAGTGAAAATTCCTTACCAACCCCAAATCTGGCAATCAGTTTGACCCTGAGCAGATGAACAAGGCACAGCAGCCCGACATCTAAGCCAGAAGATTCTCTGTAGCATCTCAGAGCTCTGATCCGCCCCATCCAATGTCCTGTCTCCAACTGTGGTCAGTCACCGATGCTTCAGAGGAGGGCAAAATAAACCACCCAAAATACATTTAACCAATTGTTCATTGGGAAAAATATTCCTCCTGACCCCTGGAGGTAACTGGCTGAAGCTCTGAAGCAAGGGACAAGCTTCCAAACTCAAGCAAGCAGATTGCATTGGTTACATTTTCCAGGGTCTCCCCACAAGAAGAAGGGCTAGATACTGACTTTCTGCTTTATATTAAACCTGATCTTAGCATTGATTGATTGATTGATTAATTAAACATGATCTTAGCACTGGCACTGATAAGGTCCCGAAATCAGGGTGGGGCCTGTGGCCCTGGGTTTTGTAAGCCCCAGTGGCCACTTTTGGTTAAAAAGGTAGTGCAGAGAAGGAGAAAACAGATGAGCAAGAGCAAACCTGGTGAAAAGAAATAACAGGAAGTAAGGACATGTGACACTGTGTCTATTTATAACTTCACTGTTCTCCTTTCTGTCTTCATGACTATTACAAGAGGGAGTGTGAGCTAGAGGTGTTGGCCAGCAATTTAGGGTTCTATTCTTGACTCCACTACAGAACAAAGTGACCTCAAGCAAGTCACTCAATTTCCCTATCTGTAAGTCAGAGATAATATTCACCTGCTGTGCCTCACAGAGCTTAATTTATTAAAATTTGCAAAATGCCTTAAGCTCTTCCAGTGGAAGGCAAGGCTAGAGGTTGCAAGCTGAGCGATACACTTAAGTACAAACCTAGCCAGCCACATTCAGAAAGAGTTACAAGATGCATCCTTCCCAGGGTTCCAACTCATTGTGCTATGTAATCCTGGGCGGAGTGGCCAAATCCCTGTCCACCCTCTTTCTCAAAGCTACAGATAGCAGGGGAGTCTGGTGGGTTTTACTCCTGTTTAGGAATATCTGTGATTCTATTTAAGCTATTTAAATGCACCCAGATACCACTGTGAAGGGGATTCTGGAAATATGTATTAATAATAATTATAACTATTATTAAACACAGAGCTTTCCTTTACAAGCTGCTTCTTTCCTATACAGTTATTTAGTGGGAGCAGGGTGCTGGTCACAGTTTTACTGCTTCAGCACCAGTTAGTGATGTCAGCAAAGAATTTCAGAGAGACCAAACCTGGCTGCTGCTCTGATTGGCTGAGAAGACCCTTGGCTTGTGGTATCATTAATTTTGGAGCAACTGTACACAGCATGTGTGTGTGTTATCCAAATATAGTCACCTGGAGCATAGACTATGCACTGCGTCCTGCAGCACCGCACGATCTGCAGCTTCTGCCTCCCGCAAGACTTGAAATAGAGCTCATTACAGTTACGCTGCAATCGCATCGAAGAGAGCCCTGGACTTTAGTATCACAGGAAACTCTTCAGTTAGGTTAAAAAATCTGCTTTCCTGTTTGAAATGTGGTTTAGGGTTTATGTTTGTTTTTGTCTCTGCTTACCTTGAAAAGTGGAGATATTTAAAGACAGAGGTTGCTCAGTGTAAAAGCTTGCAGCTGTTGCCCCTTTAGTCTCCTTAATGAAAGCTTCATTCTCTTGCTTAGTGGAGTTTGCAGCCCCTGGTTCCTGTGAAGCTGGATTTCTATTCTCTTCAAACCAAGAAAGCAAAAGATATCTATGTAAACAGATACAGAATGTAGTCATTGCCCTAGGGTAGGATTGTCAAACATATGGCGAGTGGACCTGATTCCACCCTTCTCATGTGTATTTATGATGCCCACATGATATATTAAGATTGGGCAGAATCTTTAATTTAGAAAAAAAGGTAAGTTTCTAGCTTTCATGACTGAAAAAAACCCCAACCCTCCAAACATGAACCCAGGGCTTGTCTACATGGCGAGTTACTGCGTGGCAAGCCAGCATGTGAATCTACAGTGCACCAGCTTGCCATGTCATAACTCACTGTGTGTGTGGACACTGCTACAGCACAGGGAAAGGTGATGGGAGCAAAGCCCATGCAAAGGTGGGAGCTGCCTGGGAGTGACTGCAGGGAAGGAAATGCAGAGGGAAGAACATGGGAGGCACACAAAGACAGAGGGAGAGAGAGAAACAGAGAAAGGAGCCTGTGGAAGGTAGAGAAAGAAAGGACACACATATGCTCCCTTTTTGCTCATTGATGCCAAATGAAACACTAAGGCACTGGATAAATAATAAAGAAAAATATTAACTAAAACTTTGGTTATCACATAAAGGCCATATTCTCCCTCTTGTTCTCAGGGCAAGTTTCCCATTGACATCAGTGGGAAATCAGCTCTGGACTGAGAAGAGTGTGTAGTCCTATATTTATGTCCCACCTCACTAAGCATAATTAAAAATGGAATCTGACCTCTTCAGAGTGAGTTTGACATCCCTGGGCTAGTGACTCATACAGTGTCCTAAGACCTGGGCATTGGGCTAGCAGCTCAGAGAGTGCCCTAGGGCCTGGGTGCCGGGCTAGTGGCTCACAAAGTGCCTTCCTATCTGGATATTGCCTTGATGCTCTGAGGTTGCTTTCCTCCCTGGACAATGCCTTGGTGCTCTGAGATGCCTGTCTGCCTCAGTGGCAACTGCAAGCTGGGTAAAGACGTTTTCAGAGGTAAAAAATTAAAACTGAGGTTTGAGCCACAGCATCATGAGGAAGAGAGACAGGGGCTTTGGCCAGGAAAGGCTCTTTGTCATATACAGTTACAGCATTTTCACACTACAGTGATAAGAAATTGTATAAATTATTCCCCATTGGAAAGCTTGTATTTTTAGAATTTCATTTCCTGGGGCTGGTGGATGAATCCAGCAATGCTGAGGCACTGGCTTCCTAGGCAGTGACTCAGACGAGGTCAGAGACTGAGTAATGCTAGTGGCAGCCCAATTCAATAGCAGCTGCATCTAATTCTCTTGGGTTTCACATGAGTAGGTCTGAGAGCCCCATTTGAATTCCTTCCATTTTTTCCAAGCCATGGTTCACGTTCTACATTACTGCACACACCTGTGGCCTAAAAACATGGCTCACCCTTGATAAAGTCAATGGAAATTGATATTTCTCTCAGACTGGAGTTCACCAAACTCTCACATGGGGTCCCTTATCCACTTTTCTGAGATTTTTCAGGATCTCAATCTATGTTTAAAATATACAATTTCTGAATATGACTAAACCCACACTGTACATCAGAGCCTAGTATCAAAACCTCAGACCCATGCATATCCCGGATGGTGCCTACTGAAGAACTCCATTCAGCAGGTTACTTCCCCTGATGCCACCATTAGAGCTGGTGACAAGGTTTTGTTACAGACTCAAAACACAGGCCTGGCTTGCAGAGATTCCTAGGCATTTCAGTGAATTTGGACGAAGTTCCAGGCACCAAGGAGAGATTTATTGTTTGGAGTGGAAACCAAGCAAAACTCAGTACAGTCCCATTGTTACAGCTTGACGCCAAGCACAATTCAGGAGGTTTCTGGAGCTCTGGCTGAGTTTTGCTTTCTGATTTGGGTTCAGTAGATCTCAAAATTCTTGGGCATGTGAACCCATGTGAACCAAACCCCACAGTTCAGCCACTTCTTCTGAAGTGGAACAGCTGAGCTCCGCAGGGCTCTGTTCACTGTGCTCTGCAATCCCTGCTGTTACAGAGGGTGTGAGCAGAGGGGCTGGTGGAATGCAGTTACTTCACTTGAGTAACCTGGGTGAATGTGTTGTTTCTCTTGGGTTTGCACTGTTCAGTTTGCACCTGCTGGAACTAAGTTGCACCCATAGCGAAGGCCCTATAGCTCCTAAGGGACACATATTAGAAATAACATTTTTAACTGTTTTTGAAAAATCTCTGTGGTCCCTCTGATTCCTACTGATGGTGTTGGGGGAGCTGTCAGTGCTCTTGCAATGTTGATGGAGGTGCTGTTTGTGAGGAACACAGCATAATACGTCAAGAGCAGACTTGGCTCTGAAGCAGAAGGAGGAATGGTCCTTATCAGTACAATGAGCCTTTTCAAGATACGTCTTTTTAATGGGGGGGGGAGGGGAAGAGGGATAAAGGAAGGAGAAAAGGGTGACCGAACAGAGCTAAAGAGAAGAGAAACTTTTCCCATGGTATACACCATCAGTACTTGTGGAGCCATCCCCACTGAAGCTGCTGGCCCCAGCACCTTGCCTGCTGAATCTGTGCCATGCTCAGCCCCACGCTTCCAGCCTGGGCGGGACATAGGCTGCTGGAAGTGGGGTGAGCCTGGGCAGAGCCCGTGAGGGGATCCCTAGTACAGAAGCCAGACCCACAGCAGCAGTGAGAAGGAGGGGCGCTGGATACCCCACCACCTACTCAGGTTTGGCCCCACCCACCTTCCATCGTGACGGGGAGCTGCGGGGCCAAAACTGAGCAAGTGGCGTTGTGACCAGGTTGTGACCATGGGGGTTGCGGTGCTGCTCCGGTTTGGCACTGTGACCCCTGTGCACCAGGTCACAATGTCACTCACTCCAAACAGGCGTTGGCAGTGGGGCAGCCAGCACTGCTCCTCCCGGCCACTGCCAATGGTAAGTACTGTATGTAACATGCATAGGGCTGCAGTATCACTGCCAGCAATTCTCTTGACAGCCCAGAAGAAACTTACCCACTGCAAACTTATCAGGCGTAGGAGTCAACCCACCCTGGGAAAGATATTGAAAAAACAGGGCTGGGAGGGCCAAAAGCCTACACCAAGTGTCACAGTACTAATCTACAGCACTCTGTTGTTATTAGCAATCCTACCCCACGGGGAGCTTGATGTGAAGGGCAGGAAGGGCCTGTTATAGCAGCCATAACACCGGGACCACAGAGAGGAACTGTGAACAGGGGGAGGCACATGGAGCCAGCCAATCTCCGTGGTACTAGGGCTCAGTGCTGGTATCACCTAAGGCCCATTGGTGTTTTTGTGGATACCCTGCTACCATCCCTGAGTGCTTGTCTTAGGTAACTGCTGTGATACTAGTTGCTTCCATGGTTAAGAATTCCTCTCCTGTCTGGGCTCTGCTTCAAACACGGCCAGCGGTATCAAATACATCACGTTGTCAGCAGCGTCTTTACCCTCCTGGTCCCAGAACCATTCTCAGGCAGCCGGACTACTCACCTTGGTCAGGGCTGCTCATGTCTCCCTCTCCACATTCTACAAGGTCCTCGTCATAGCCGCTTCGGCCCAAAGTCACATGCCGGCAGCTTAGGTTTGTCATGCGACCTTAACCCAAATAAAATAAGAAAAGCACGAGATGTTTGGGAAAGACTCTCAATGAAAGATAAAACTAGCATAATCTACTAAGGTCTGCTTCCCATCACCCCTCCTGGTATCTAAGAGTCCTGGGAAAGTGAAGACTTGATGAATTTGAAACGATGAATGTGTTATGTGGATAATTTTAATGCCTCTTGAACGGCACAGTTTATGCCTATTATTTCTTACCGCTCTGCCATTCAGGACATTTTGCTTCCCCCATTTTGCCTCCCTCTTCAATCTCATATGTTGCTGCCTGTTTACTTGTCCCTTCAGGATGATCACTCTCTTTTTATTCTGCTCTTTCATTTTCCCTCACTCTCACATCCTCCTCCCCTCTCCCCCCGAGACATTTCAAAGATTCCCAAACTACTAGTCCATTCATCCCATTTAATTTCTCACCTCCTTCATGGAGCAGGAGGACCACATCTATTCTTCATTGCCCCTCCCAGAGGTGCATCATTTTGAAAATGTGTATGTGTTGACGTTACAGATGGTAATAATACTGCTCTCCCCTTCTATTCCTACTTTTATTCCTCCTCTCTGCCCTTTCTGAACGCTATGCTGGGGTGAACTGCCCCCTCTCTCTCTCCATTTGCCTGTGGGGTATGGGAGCAAAGGGCTGATTGGTCTCCTCTCTCTTCCCTGCCTCACACAGCTGGCAGGAAAGGTATGGCATGTCCTACTTGTTGCTTCTCATGCTGCCTGTGTGCAGGGCCCCCTCTGTCTCTGTGCGGCAAAGCACATCCAGTCAATAGCTGACTAATGGCTTCTAGGGATGGGGAGACTTGCCTAACTGAGGTCTTTCTGGGACATACCGAACTCCTCCTCCCATCTACGGCAGGAGGGTGTGGAAACAAAGACAAAGTTATCTCCCTTCAACTAGACTTGGAGGCATTTGCTCCTCACTCCCATCCCCTAGAGTCATGCCCATGACTATGCCATACAGGGCTGTGCGCTTATCAAAACTCACAAGCTAAAAGATGGTCTGTCGGTACTTGGACAGGAGACCTCCAGCCTAAACTCAGATGCAGCAGAGAGGATTGGAGGTTCAGTAGGGCTACGACCCCGTTACAAAGTGTTAAAATGGCCGAACAAGGTTCTGAGGGACAGAGTTAGCTGACACAATGCTGGCGATGACTTAGAGGCCAATGTAGACTGGGACAGATCTTGTTCAGTCCTGTGTCAACCAGCGGGGTTAAGGACTGGTCCTCCTTTCACTCATCACTGAATGTAATTTGTCTTCGTCTACACTCACTGGTCAGCATCAGATCAGCAAACTCTGCTCTTCATAACCATGTTCAAACACGGTAATGTTCTGTAATGTAGACAGGACCCAGGTGGCACCTGGAGTCAGAACTGAACCACTTCAGGACAGAATCTGGGATACTCTTCTGCTTGAGATACAACTCTTAAATGAGACATAAAACTGAGGTCCTGGACACTTCAGACCTTTATAAAACCCGGGCCCTTTTAACAAAAGTCAGAATGGTATCATCATGATATCATGGCCAAATTCTATCTCAGGTCATTATATTCCATTCTTCCAAATCCTAGTCTCACAACTGAGATTGCATTTTGAAGCAATTCAAATTTCACAGCCTATTAGATGGCAGCAGCTTTCTGGTACAGGTAAGGTGTTAGGGCCAGATTTTTAGTTATTGGGGCACCTAACTTCCACAGAAAATCAATGGAAATTAAGCAACTGAATATCTTTAAAAATCTGGCCCTTAGTCAGGTAAACAGAGCGAGCCAAAAAATAAATTAGGAACCAAAATGTAAGGTGGACTGTCCCTATGTACTGATTTTTAGTGACAATGATTTACCCCATTCTGTTAGAGTTGAAGAGGGAATCCTTACCTGTTCTGTGTTTGCACTTTCTAAAATGCCATATTAGTGAACCCAACACAACAATGAATACAGCAACATGCACTCCCACTATGGTGAATAACAGTAAATGCAGGTTAACTGGTGAGGCCACCGTCTCTTGTTCTAAAATGAGAATAAAATGGCAAAAAAAAATCACTGACTTAAAATGCCTTCTGCCCCATTCTGTTAGCGTTACACATGGTTCTTTTTGTAATTTCCATTCATATACAGACAGTATAAAAAGATCACATACTAAACAACAGTACAACAAGGCCTTATTTATCTGTTCTGTTTTTCTGACTTCCCTTCAAGCTCAGTCGAGTCAGAAAAGTGACCTGATGAAACAAAACTGTGGGATTCCCTATGTATTTTTTCTCAGTGTCTGCAAATTAAAGTGGCCCAGTTTACAAGACAAATGAGTTTTCCTAACAGCTGGCATTGCAAACCCAGCACGGTATCTGATGATCCAGCTGTGCTCCTTCTGCCTCATACAACATTACCAGAAATAAAGGGTTCGTGGTCAGACGCAAGCTGGTGAGTCTGTTGAAGATTTGTGAGGCAGTATAGGCTCCAGATCTCTGTCGTGTAGCTTGGCTTGCCCTTGAGGAGCTACAAGGAGAAACAACCTTGTTTTGGTCTGTGTGAAGTCAACATGTGACGTAAAAGCACACAGAGAGCTGAACCACTGGGCAAGAAGAGGATATTTTCATAGTCTGTCTGACCATAACATTACTTTAAAGCAGGGGTAGGCAAACTTTTTGGCCCAAGGGCCACATCGGGGAATAGAAATTGTATGGCAGGCCATGAATCATAGAATCATAGAATATCAGGGTTGGAAGGGACCCCAGAAGGTCATCTAGTCCAACCCCCTGCTCGAAGCAGGACCAATTCCCAGTTAAATCATCAAATGCTCATGGAATTGGGGTTGGGGTGCGGGAAGGGGTGCGGGCTCTGGGGTGGGGCTGGGGATGAGAGGTTTGGGGTGCAGGAGGGTGCTCTGGGAAAATATCAAGGGGTTTGGAGAACGGGAGGGGAATCCAGGCTGGGGCAAGGGGCTGAGGGGATGCAGGCTCCGAGCGGTGCTTAGATCAAACGGCTCCCAGAAGCAGTGGCATGTCCCATCTCCGGCTCCTATGCGGAGGTGCGGCCAAGCGGCTCCGCACGCTGCCCCATCTTCAGACACCCCCCTGCAGCTCCTATTGGAGTGCGTAAGAGCCAGAGTGGGGCCATGCCATGGCTTCTGGGAGCCGCGTGGTGTGGCCTTGACCCAGCAGCCCGGCTGGAGCGTGGCTGAGCCACATTGTGCACCCCCGACCCAGTGCCCCAGCTGGAGCACCAGAGCAGGGCCGAGCTGCATGGTGCGGCTCGCAGGCCAGTTTAAAACAGCTCATGGGCCAGATCCGGCCTGCGGGCCGTAGTTTGCCCACCCCTGCTTTAAAGCATCTGGATCATATTCCACGTTGGTGTAACTCCAGTGGAGCCATGACAGGAATGAATTCAGTCCAAAGATAGAAGTTCTTCTAGCTAAGCTTTCTCCTGCATTAAAGATTTTTGTCATTATCATATAACTCAGCTGACTTAGAGGCTGGCAATCATGCATTTTGTAAAAGTTTGGTGCAGTCTGAGAATGCCTGAGTATCAACTGTATGTACAGTACCTGAAATCAAACTGTTTGGTTGCTGTGGTTATTACTGTCTGAAAATGAAAGGTGACAGTGTCAACAAAAAAGCAAACTATTCTGGATCTGAGTAAGGGCCTTGATCAAGTGACAACTACAATCATTTTTCTGCTCAGTTGGTGAACTACATCTACACAGCAACTATTTTCACAACACAACCACACACCAACTGAATTTGTGAGTCCATACCTATCATGCTGACTGTCTTCGCACATTAGGGTGACCAGATGTCCCAATCTTATAGGGACAGTCCTGATATTTGGGGCTTTTTCTTACATAGGCTCCTATTACCCCCCACCCCCATCCCGATTTTTCACACTTGCTATCTGGTCACCCTATTGCACATACTGGGAAAATGTGAGCAGCTATCCCATAGCGCCTCAGTATGAGACAGAGTAATTGAAGGACATGCACAAAGAGTGGCAGCAAAAGCTCATGAGGCAATGCACTCTGGGATGTCCTACTGCACAGAGAACAAGGAGGAGAAAGGCCAATGTGTGTATACTGGCATCGTTAGGGGGTCTTATCCACACAGCAAAATAACAGCATAAGACGCAGAATACAGGAGCAGGAGCGGCAGGTTTGTATAATTTTTGGTAGTACCCAGAACGGGTCCAAGTCCCGCCCCCCACACGCACACCAGCCTAAGGCTCTGGGAGGGAGTTTGGGTGCAGGAGGCAGTTTGGGGTGCAGGCTCTGGGAGGAAGTTTGGGTGCGGGAGGGATGCGGCCTCTGGGATGGAGTTTGGGTGCTGGGTGCAGGCTCTGGGCTGGGGGCCAGAGAGGAGGACTCCCCCCAGCCCTCTCCCCGCCAGCAGCAGCGAGATCAAGGGGAGGGGAGTCCTCCCCGGCCCTCCTCCCCCGGCCCAACACTCACCCAAGCTCCCCCAGGCTGCTGCTCAGGAGTTGCCTGCCAGGGGGGGCGCCTCCCATGTGCCTCCTCCCCTCCTCCCTCTGCAGGCACAGTAGCCGCCTCAGCCTGCCCCTGGCACCGCTCCCTTGTACCCGGCTGCAGCAGTGCCTGGAGAGGGAGTGCAGAGCGGAGCTGCAGGGGGCAGCTGCCCACTGCCCAGGGCAGGCAGGGAAGCTCGGGGGAGGTGTGCGGGGGCGGCAGGCAGGGCCAGGGGAGAGACCCATTCCCGAACATTGGTGGAGCCTGGCCCCCTGGGCCCTGAATTTGCCGGAGCCCGGGCATCACAGACCCATACAACTTGCCGCCCCTGGACAAGGGACACTAGGGAAGTGAGCTGCACAGTTGAGACCCTGCACAGTTTAGCCCCCTCTCTTCCATTTAAATCAGGGAGCTGTTAGCTAAAGTGATTTAGCTCAGTGGTTCTCAACCAGGAGTACACATACCCCTGGAGATACATGAAGGTCTTCCAGGGGGTACATCAACTCATCTAGATATTTGCCTAGTTTTACAACAGGGTACATAAAAAGCACTAGCAAAGTCAGTACAAACTAAAATTTCATATAGACAATGACTTGTTTATACTGCTCTATATACTGTACACTGAAATGTAAGTACAATTTTTATATTCCAACTGATTTATTTTATAATTACATGATACAAATTTGTTTTTAGGAAGCTGACCTGAAAAACCTGGGGCACAGCTGGGGAACCATTGAAAGACTTGCCAGAAACAAACAGGAGTGGAGGAGCTTCATCACTGCCCTAAACGCCAGAGGCGTAATAGGAATATAATGATGATGATGATGATGGTCAAAATGAGAAAGTAAGCAATTTTTCAGTAATAGTTTCTGTGACATTTTTGTATTTTTTATGTCTGATTTTGTAAGCAAGTAGTTTTTAAGTGAGATAAAACTTGGGGGTACGCAAGACAAATCAAATTCCTGAAAGGGGCACAGTAGTCTGGAAAGGTTGGGAACCACTGCTTTAGCTGATTGCAACTATCGGTTCTGATGGCATTAAAACAAATGGGGGAGAAAGCTAACCCTAATCTGAATTCCTTTTCATAATCATTAATTTCAGCCCAAACTGAGTTTAATGTTTCTTGGCAGGTAAGAAGGCTAATCTTTTTAGAAAGAATAATAAGGGAGAGCTCTGAAGCAATGTTTCCTTTCTCTCTGGTCCAGTTTAGTGTCAGAATTCTATCCTCTCTAAGGGCTTTTCCATACACAAAATTTGTACAACTTTAACTATCCTAGTATGAAGGTCCAGACCCCACTAATGTGGGCACAGTTATATCGGCATAAAGGTCTTATGTTGGTATAAAGGTGTTTCAAATTACAAAAAATCAGAATGAAAGCTTTGTTTTGAGTTGACCCCAAACCAAAATTTTTCAGAATGTTCAGTGCATTGAAGTGTCAGCAAAAAATATTTTAGGTCAAATTGAACATTTAGTTTGACCAAAACCAAAACATTTTTTTACAATTATGAGCATTTAAAAATGTTTTTAATGTTTAACAATTAAAACTAAAGGAAATTTCAAAATAAAAAGTAGTTTTGAACCAAAAAAATCAAACCTTTTTTTTCAAAAATATTGAAAAAAAACTCATATTTTTTCAGAACGTTTTAAACATTTTTTTGAACAGTTCTGCAAAATCAACACAAATTCGCAAAATATTTCAGTGTTGCCCAATCTTCATTTTTCACCAAAAATGTTTCCGCTTAAAATTTTCACCCAGCTCTAGCCTCTATTTCATGAATGTGTTAATCAATTAATGGTTAACTAGTTATGGAATGTCTCTGACATGGTTCTTCTGTGCTCACACTTTGAACCTGGAATGAGTGTTATTGCAGTATTTAACTGGGGAATAAAATAGGTTTTAAAGTAGACAGAATATTAACACTGTCCCATTTTTGCTAACATTTTAAATTGAGAAATACTCACCCACTTTCACATCAATCATTCTCTGGTATATAATCTTCCCATCTCTGTTTCGCACTTCCACTGAATACCGTCCACAATCACTTTCCTGAAGCCTGTCAAGTCTGAGCGTGCCATCAGATAGGATCTGAGATCTGTAGGTGTTTCCCGCATTGGACTCCGACTGGGAGTAATTTAACTCAGCAACCAACATGCTGTCTTTCTTCCACATTATCTGGACCAAGTCATTCCAATCCTTCGCTGCTAGAGGTAGGAGCACGGAGCCGCCGACAATTCCTGTTACTTCTTGAACAGGTGCTGTTTTGTTTCCTGAGGGGGAAAAGCCATCGCTGCTAAATTTAAGGGAGGGAGCATTCCTTATGTTCCCTTTTGACTGTGAGTGATCTCTTTTCTGTTGTATCTTTTCAAAATGGAGGAATGAAGTCAAGTGCTGGGGAGTATGTTTGTTAAACCTAGTTTCATACATATGGACTTAAAATAAAAATAATGCTTTCCTGCATATTTATTATACCTTTTCCATCCCAAATTATCATAATGTAGTTTATACGCTACATCGAGAGCAAACACGGGAACACCACACACTGCCACATTGCACAACAGTTTAGAAGAGCAAGTGAAGAACAATACTATATTGTTAGAAACTGGGTGAAACCTAGTTACAGGTCGAGTTCAAAGTCCATTGTAATTGGTCAGTGCGAACTCACCCTTCAGTTAACATAACCATACACATAAGTCCCACTTAAGACAGAAGATGTATGTGAACTTTAGGCTGAGTATTGTCATGAGTACAAGTGTGTGTGTGTGTGTGTGTGTGTGGGCAGATGCGAAGAAAGATCTCAGAAAACTAGGGTCAGACATGAATAGATGGAGTGAGAGAGGCAGCCCGAAGGAACACCTAAAAGTGTGTAATGGATCCTGGAAGAAACCTGGGAAGAGGTGTTTGGGTCAGGGATGCAGGCTGAAAAGAGCACTCTTGGTGTTGTGAGCAAAAGAAGATGTTTCCCACTATTTGATTTCTTCTGCATTCAGAGATACAAGACTTTGTACGTTCTTGTGTAAATAAACAAAACTGCATCAAAGAAATGCCTGACCATCACCAATTTCTACTCCCAACTGCAACACCCACAGGGCCCCAACTTTGACTAGCTACTCAGGTCAAAAAATGGCAACATTATCCAATCAAAATGGCTGGGAGAATTTAGAGAAGGCAGACTGCACAATTTGACCAGATTACTATAACTAATGCCCCTTCTCTTACAAAATGTGGTATGGAATCTTAATGTTTCTGAGTAGCCTTGGCTTCAGTTTTTTATCTCTCATCCAAAAGTCAGCACTTCCTGCAAAACAATGCCCCCTAGCACTTGGCCAAGGTCTAGGTTCAGTTCTGATACAGATGGAAGTGCCACCAGTTGAATCACCAGCACAGCTTTATGCAGCACTTGATGCTCTCCTATGCAAATAAGACGACTTGAAGGTGGCTTGCAACTGTTTAGTCTGTGAGATCAAAACACAGCAGAGCAAGGAATAAAAGGAGAGCTAGAGTAGGCAGAACTTTCTTAAACCCATGTACAGTTGGACCACGTTTCAACATTTAAAATACTTATTGGCAGATGTTGGGCAAATACAAAACCCAATAGTCACACCAATAAATACCGGTGTAAACTGAACTCTTCTCCTACATATTCTGATTCACTGTTGTACTGGAAACCCAAGGAAGGTTTGGAGTTTGGGTTTGTTTCTGAGAAGTGTCCACATATTTGGACATTTTACTGTATTTGAGGCTTAGCCAAAGGTTACCCAAATCTTTGTAGTCTGAATGCTGGTCTGAAAATCTCATTAGAAAGCTCTCTGCTGAAAGGCCCTGCACTTCTGTATTGCAGTCCTCGTCAGTAAACCATTAGACCATCCCATCCCATGGGAATCTGAGCAGTTCTGGCTCCAGTCTGGGCTGGACCCCAGAAGAGAAAAGAGTACACTATGCAAAAATGGAAAATTAAACGTACCCTAATACATTAGAGTCTCTGAAAAGTTTTGGTTCAAGTTTGGTTATAAAAGTGTATGTTTCTTATTTTATCTGCAGTAGGTCTTCCATCTCTACCAGGAGATCGACTATATGCTGTTTCTGGTTAATAACCCACTGTGAGATCACGTGGTGCTGAAGACCAGGAATGCAGTTCAGAAATATGGGAACATTTTTCTGGGTATTTTAATCCTCCACAAAAACTGAGTTCATTAAATGACCTTTTCAGACCAATTTTTCAGCTACAGATAGAGATCACTGACCTGAACAATACACTGACGCATACTAAAACTACACTTTCACATTTGCATGTTATTGATATAATCTACAGGCCCTGACAGGCATTGCATAGTGGGCTGATACTTACCGCTATGCTCCAGTTGAATTTTTTGATGGCCCAAACCTGCCCCATCATGATCAAACACTTCTGCTGTGTACTGGCCCTCATCCCCTGGCTGCATGGGGCAAACACTCAAGCTGCCATTGGAGAATGCACGAAATCTCTCGCTGTATGTTCCAGAGCCCCGTACAGGGTGACCTTTCATCTTGGCCACTTGCTTATTGCCTTTCTTCCAGGTAACATGAATACGCCTGTTTGTGAAATTGTGCAGGTCAAGCGTAACACAGTCATCTACAGTTCCTCTGACAGTGCGCATCCCTTCAGTGGCCCCTGATAATAAAGAAAGAATACATGTGCATGAGAATGTTTGCTTACAGAATGTACATTTTACATTCAGGGTGATTACACACTGCATGAAATTATATACATTTGCTTTTAAAATCTTTCACTAGACATTTTACAGACAGATTCCCAGGTTAATTAGCAGTGTTATGATAATGGAACCTACCTACCAACCGTTTGCTTTTAATAAAGAAACTGCAGTTGTGTAAGTCTATGGATAATTTCCTTGGAATCATGGGAAGGCCTATTTTCTTGACCAAAGTCATGCCAAGAAAGCATGATTTACTTGGACTTGTTTTGGGAATGGAGACTCCTACTGAAATGTGCACAGCCTGTTTACAGAAGAAACGTTCCTGGACCATACTATTATTATCATGTTTATTATGGCAGCACCTAAGGACCAAATGAGAATAGGGCCCCATTGTGCTAGGCCATGTAGACACAGAGTAATATATTTAAACATTTTCCAGAAAAAGGTCCTAATGTTTATTATCATGGTTCGGGGGATGGATTCCTGGAATTTGACTACCCTATTGTCAGAAACAAGCAGCTCTAAAAATCTGTGGCACACTAAGCTGAACTTGGCACAGATATGAGCTTTAAGAAGCCTTTAGCCCTAATGTGTGAATGAGAACAACTCCAATCCAGCTGCAGACATCCTGCTCAAATTCATGCTTAGAAAAGACAACAGCTCCATACAGGTATTTGGTAAAGTATATAAAAGCCAGTATGCAAAGTCCCTAATATATCATTGGCATTTAATCATTTTCTGACCCAAATTCGCTGTAACTAGTGGATGCATCATTGAGGCCAGTACAATCAAAAAAATTTGGAATTTCTAGACCGAGTCATTTCTGCAATAGCAGGAGCCAAAAAATAAAAATAAGTTAGGAAACTTTTCAGAAAGTGCAAGCAATTCATTTTGCACACTCATATAATCTAAACACCCATGTCCAATTTATACCAAATTCTACCCTAACATAAAATCACCCACATGAGATTTCACACAGATAGCTTCATAATGACTATAGTAAGATCGGTTGTGTGTCAAAATGTGGCTTAAAATGGACAGCTAGCTACAGCAGTAAGGGACTAAGGTCTCGCATTTATCTGTCCTTCTGTCCATCCATCCATCCACTTTATAATAAAAATTACCAACTTCTCCTCTGACTTCTCCCTCCCCTAAAGAGAGAAGGGTCATTCTCATGTAATTGAAACACAGAAGGAGGATGTCATAATAACAGTTATGTCATTTGGTCGGCTTCTCTAGTCTGCTAAGGCCACTTTGTGCCACTCAACCTTAAAGCTGAGATGGCCAATGGAGAATTTCTCCTGTGCAAGTCTCTCTGGCAGAGGATGTACAGCTGCCTCCTGTGCCTGCAGCCCCATCACTACTGGCAAAAGAGGAGGGAGAGGGTGTATCAGGAGTGCAGTGAAGGCCGACTGTCTGGAGGGCAGGGTAGAGTGCAGTAATGTCCAATCTTCCACTGGCACGAGGTCCCTGAGAAACTAGCTTGCACTGGCCTGGTGGCTGAGAATCAGGGAGCCACAACCAGCCCCCCAGCTCTCCACTCCATTCGAGTAGAGCTTGGACAGAGTACCGACTTTGAATTTTCAGTGTAAATTTGTAGAAATCTTGCTTGACTTGGTTTGCAAATGCATCTTGCATTCTAACTGCTGTTTATTCAAACCACAATTTAAAATAAAAAATTAAAGCTTTCATTTATTTTCACACTTCTCATGGTATAGGCTGGAACATTCTAAAACACGATCTAGAGACAGTAAGGCCAAGATTTAAAAAAACAGATGCCTACAATTACATTTCAAAAGCTAATTTAGCTCTAAATCAGTGGGCTAAGCATCCAGCAGATTTCAAAGGGAGCTGATGGGTGTTCAGCACTTCTGAAAATCAGGTTGGTTATTTCAGAGCCTAAGTAAAGTTTGTAGGAGACTGATTTTAGGCTTCTGGCTTTGGAAGTCTTGGCCCAAGGGTGAGTGCTATGAATGACTAATAAATATTATCATTGAGTGCATCTCAGAACCTCGGGTCACTGATGGGACCAAACAAATTCAAAACTAGCAGACACTAAAGTGAGGAGCATATGATAACAAGTTGAAAAACATAATATGCCATAACAAACTTTGATGGGTCTGCACCACACATCCCTACAGAGTAAGACATTCGGATATTACTTTTATGCCTAGCATGTATGTTTAGCTGAAAAACTCTTTGGTAGACACGATTTCCAGTTCTGTTACACACATTCACTGTATATTGTCCCTCATCCTTTTTCTCTGTATTGTAAAATGCTACAGTTCCATTAAAAAAGATAGTAAACTTACTGGTATGATGTGTCCAGCTACTTAACAAAGTCCTTCCCTTGTTCCGAGTGATGTGAACAGGGTGTTCCAAGTCAGGATACTCATGATGCAGTGTAACAAAACTACCCAGCATCCCGTTTACAGTTGTCACATCACTGTGCACTGGAAATATAATACATGCAAAACATTTTTAGTTACAGAACAACACAATATGTTTCTGGGCACCATACTGAAATAAATGATGCAGATTTCTAAATTCTAAGACAGAAATGTATCCTCATGGCTAGAGCAGGAAACTAGAAGTCAGGATGCCTGGGTCCTAACTGTATGATCTTGGGCAAATCACTTCGCTTCTTAATGCTACAATTTCCCCATCTGTAAAATGTTTTACAACTTTTATTCTCTTTTAGCAGCCTTCTGATGCTTAATTAAGTAATGTTTCTAAAGTGCTTTAAGATCCTTTGATGAAAAGATGCCACTCTCAGTATATCCCAATGCCAAGTGTGGGCAATTTTCAGCAGTTGATACTTGTCAAATTATTTGTTTTTGCCTTCTGGAAACACAAAAAAATATAAACTCAGAAATACCGCACCTAGCATCCTTAAAGTTTTTGCAGCTTCTTACTATCATCTGAACACAATTCAGTGCAGTAGTCTTTCCAACACTAAATGTACAATATATTTTCTTATAATAAATTAATTTCTTATTATGCTTGTCTTTGGTTATTTTACAGATACACTGAAATCCTCTTATGCTGAGGTCATTTCTTTTGCAATGAACAACATGCCTATAAGCTAAGGCTACATACAGAAATCAACAGATTGAAACACTCTGAGCAAGTACTTCTACTTCATCCTAAAACATGCTTCAGTATTGCCCCAATTCTGCAACCACTGAGCACAATGGCAAAACTCCCCTTGATTTAATTTGGAACAGAATCACATGTCTAATTTGAATTTAGTATAAACACATTCCACTCTTAAAGAATTACTGAGAAAGAAAGAAAGAAAGAAAGAAAGAAAGAAAGAAAGAAAGAAAGAAAGAAAGAAAGATGGCTTACCCTGGAGAATAATAAGTGCAAACAACGTAGACTGGAAGGTAAAACTAGATGACATTTCAGAAATGATTTTTGTTCCTGTATTTCACATACACTGTACTTTTTTGAGGAAACCTCTACAGTCCACTAACTTAAATCCATACTGAGTGGTGTGTCTTGAAGATTGTGAACATGCAGAAATGCTTAAAGGCTGTTTCTATTTTTCAGTTACTTCCTTACTGACTCAGAACTAGAGTTCTCACAAAGGGACAGTGGATATTTTGGAAGGGAAACATTGTGGCTTCAACCACTGTGTCAGACAAGCTTGAGGTAAGAACTCGTGAATATACTTCCTTGTTTTCCAAGTGGCTGCTGCAGCAGGTGGAGGTCAGCCCGGCATAAGACATTTCACAGCAAAATAAAGCTGGGGAAATAAGGCTTTTCTCGTCCCTATTGTGTGAGCACACACCAGAACGAAGATAGAGCTGAAGTAAGGCTGTGCATGCATGTTTGTGTTGTTTTTATTAGTATTGTTTATATTTTCATAGTTCCTAGGAGCCTCAGTCACGGACCAGGACCCTATTGAATAGGCACTGTCTGAACACAGAACTAAATGACAGTCTCTGCCCCAAAGAGTTTACAATCTAAAGTATAAGAAAACAGATGGTTACAAACACACAGGGAAGTACAAGGAAATCATGAGATAATATTGGTCAAGCATGACAGGCAGTCATAAACTACTAAAAGAGAGTCTTCTTTAGTTCAAGTGGTAGAGGCTTATTGGTTTTAGAAACAAAGGTCCTGGGTGTGTCTACAATAAAGGAACTGTACTGTGGCTAACTGAACCAGAGGGACTGCACCTGTGCAAATAACAATAGTGCAGTGAATCCACATTAGGTATCCTATTTGGGCTGAGTTGTGCCCTGCATGCATACACAGTGTTCTAAACAAATACTGTAACTGCTTTGCCTTCTGGTACCTTACGTAGAGTTCCCAGCACAGTGCCCTGAAGCTGTGGCTCGTGTGAGATTTGGAAAGGCCTTTTGGGAGCCCAAGGGAATTGTGTGAGAAAGGACCCATAAATTCCTCAGAAATTATGCCATTCTGCAACATATTCTCAAAATGGAAGCCAAGCTGAATTATCAGTGTTCACTCTTCCTCAGAGTGGAGCGCCACTTTTGGGTCAGGACCATGACCACAGAGACATGGAGCAGAGCAATTTGAGAAATTTGCAGAACTTCCAAATGCGGAAACAAGACTCCTCTCCTCTGTGTTTGCTGACGACCAGGAATGCAGTGGGGACATTTTTTTCTGTGTATTTTCTGTGTATTCCACATTAAATGACCTCTTCAGACCAGGTTTTCAGCTTCTGTGTGTTTGCCACATCAAACTAGCAAGTATCTTAATCAGAAAAGGTACCACTCGATTATTATGGCCGTTCTTGGCCATTCTTGGCTGAGTATTTACATTAGGTGGCCAGGCAAAGTGCATGATACCAGATTTCGGAAAGCTCTGAACTTTTCAGAAGTGGAAAAGAGGTGCACACTTCTCC